GGGGAGGGGGTGATTTCGTATTATAGCATGACCATGGTTTTTTTTTACATTTATCTAAGCATAAAAGACTTTCTCATCCAAGTCCTAGTGTTTCATTTTTTAATTTTTTTGGCTGTTATATCTCTTTGTAATATTATACTAGTTCAGTTATAGCATGATATGAATTTACACATGCAGTGTCATATTTAGCTAATTTTTTATAAAATAATAATATTGAATTTAAATCAATTTCAAAAGCTTTTTACCCATATTTAACATAAGTATGTTCAGCCGGGTTGCATCATCAAAGTGCATAAAAACATAAATTTTATGTTTAAAATTTTTAATTTTTACCGAAATTTTAAAAGTTTTTGTCTTCTTACTTGCATAACTATATTCAAGTACCCATCTCTACAGATGCACATTAAAAGCATGCAAAATTAATTTGAAAATCAAAAATTAACAATTAGCACCTATCTGGAAAAAAAAAAATGTCTTCTCTCAAAATTTAGGATTTGTAAGACTTTTGTAAGTCTCAGTTTTGTGTCTTTAGGATCCATAAGTTATAGTTCATGCAAAATTTTACCACAATTTAAATTATTTTATATACCACAACTAAAAGGGTTAATTATTGAATTTTTACGGTTTCTGTTACTTTGATTACTTATTATTTTTTACAAACTATGCTGTTCCTTCCTTGTCTGCACTTACTTACTGGCACAGTGATTAATATATTTAAATAACAACAGGAATGCAGTTTGATTCCTGGTGATAGCATACTTGATTGTTTACATTCTGTGCTCTGAAAAACATTTAGTGATCTTTAAATTAGTATCCAAACATAAATTTGATAAATGATACTCATCCCCACTTGGGTTTGGATCACTTGGATTTATAAATTTCTTTAGTCATCTTCTAAGCATTGGGAAAAGGAATAAAGGAATAATATAGGAGTTATAATATTTCCACTATGCAATTGCTAACACATCCAGCTAGCAACTGGAAGACCTATGGTTTGATATTTCAAGAAGGCAAACTTAATTTTTCATGCTGCCTTCTTTGGAACAAAAAAAAAAAAAAAATGGCCTAGGTATTTAAAGAAATTTTCTCACATAGTTTAACACACACACCACACACACAACACACAAAAAAAAAAAAAAAAAAAAAAAAAAAAAAAAAAAAGATAAAGAAAAAAAAAAAAAAAAAAGAAGAGAAGATTGATTGAATGAATGCATTACCACTAATAGCTAGGATTGATCACCTACACTTCAAGAATTACTGCCAGCATCAATGAAGACAGGAAATGTCGAGAGAAAAACTTCAAAATATTCAATGAGCAATAACAATGACCTAGCTCTTTGCAGAAATGTTAAGTATTTATTTACAACAAGTAATAAATAATAAAATGGTAATAAAAAGTGCTACCTATTTATCTATTTTTCCTTATTATTTTAAGTTCAACACACCATTTGAGGTCACTTTTGTATATCTTTTAGTCAGTTTTGCAACTCTTCTTTTCCATTAATATAAAACTTTTCATTACACTGAAATATCATATAACTGCAGCAAGAAATAATGCATATTTATATAAATAATATTCATATGTACCTCATAGCTAACCAAAATTACATTTTCAGAATCTCAAAACATAATGTTTATAAGGAGAGAATGAATAATATATTTCCTAAAAACTACATTTAATAATAATCAGAAATCTGAAACAATGCATTTAAATACAATTACAGTAGTATAGCAAATTTTTAAATTACTACAGGAACTTATTAGAATATTTTTTAAATAATACAGTTACCCTGAATGATATTTCTAAATTTTCACCACCCCATATATCCATGCCTTGATCATATTCACCCAACTCGTGGAAATATTTTCTATCTATGGCAAACAGACCTCCAGCCATTGTAGGTGACCTAAAAAAAAGAAATACAATACAATAAATAAATAATATTCTTTTTTGGAATAAATAACCATTACTTTGAAATATTTTGCTATTCATTATTCAGTACAAAGACCGAAATTCAGATGGCCAATATTTGGAATCCAGATCTCCATAAACTTTTTTACAAGTATAGAAAATGAGACTATAATAGAAGGAGGGAAAAATAGTGTACCATAAAACATTTTTTTTTCAACTGATATTCCTGTATGTCAATTTCAAACACTTGCTGGCTAGTGATCACATAGTGGGCATGACAATACATTCATTCATAGATCTTGGATACTTATTTCAATATTGCCATTCAGTTCAGCTGGCAATTCTTAGCAGCTCCTTTTACTTAATCTTAGTTGATCCTATGAAGCAGCCTAAAAGCTTGATGATTCCCCAGACAGAAGAGAAAATAAAAAAAAAAAAATCTGAAAAAGAAAAAGGGACGAACTTTTGCTCTAGAAGAAGTGACAAAATCATGAAAACGTGATCTGATCGACATAGGAGTGAATCTGGCTGGAGAGGGAAGCAAACATATGGGTTTGGAGGGTGTGGCTTCTGAAGATAGTGCTGGGCACATGATCTCAAGAAGCAGAATTACTCCTTATTAAATAAATAAGATAGTAGTAGCCATTAAATAGTAGCCCAAAATTGAGGAAAATATGTGAAGATACTTGAAAAGTGCATATTTATCTGGTCAACACTGCGCTGCTAGGATAGAACCTATAATCTTCTGTTCTGTAGCCTGATGGTTTTACCAATCAAGCCCAAAACAGCTGTCATTGAAGTGAGACATAAATATTGGTTCTTTCATAACCAGTGCTTGCAGTTCCCTGCATAGGCCCCTTTGCTGCCCTTTAATTTGATATATGCAATACTTAATTTGATATATGCAATACTGATAGACAGTTTGCATAGTGTTGTGAGCATACACAATCTGAGCCTGTGGGCATGGACGAAAGATCCAGATCTATTGGTGCCCACATATATAGGTGATCTACATTTGGCAAAAATCTTATGATATGTAAAATTGTCAAATGATAAAGATATTTACATGGAAAATAGTTTTCATTGTAATCAGTGCTATACAGTTTTTACAAAATGGTAAATACAAAACTCTTCAAGTACATAAGTTAGTGCTAAAGTCCATTTCAACTTCTGTATTTCTTAGATACATTCTTTAGAAACTTCTATAAAGAGTTGAAAAGTGAATTTAAAGGGACAGAAATTTTTCATGTAAAACGTTTTCATAAACATACCTGAAGCTGGGAACAAATCTAAAAAATATTTATATAGAACAATTAATTTACCTGCTCATCAATGCTATAAAAGTAAGAGGAGAAAAGTTATAAACTGCACTATTTATGAGAAAATGTACAATTAACATCAGCCATTATGCAAAGGGATTTTTTAACTATAAATTTTCTTTCACCCTTCCTTCTTTTTTTTTTTTTTTTTTTTTTAACGTAATTAACATCAGATACATATGCCTTCAAATGTACCATAGCAATACATGAGGGGAAAGAAAAAAAAATTATTTTCAAAACATGTTTAAGTGAAAGAATATACACTAATCTGTATTTCATCTCAATGATAAGAACTTGCTTTTTATAATCTACAAATTTATGGGAAAAAGCTATTTACTTACCCATATAGTAGTTATCAGATAATTACTTGATAAAACATTATTCATTATAAATTTAAGAGTATTTACTCAGAATTCATTAGGGACAGATAGCATATACAGTCATATATAAAAACACTGCTTGATATAGTTTCAGAAATGTATAAGTTACTTCAGTAATTCTCAAATTCTTACACACCCATTCTGCAAGACTTGCATAATAATAATAATAGAAGTTGCCAAATTTTCACAGTGAGCCAAATGCTGGCAACCTTGCACATGACCATTCTTCTGGCAACCATCCTCATAACAATCCTCCTGACTAGAAATACTGCCACTGTCGGATGCATTCGTTTTTTTGTTGTATTCGAAGTTCCAACAGTTTTTATAAACAAATTGTGACATTTTTTGCCTTAAACTTAAATTTACAATATGAGCTTATGGAATTTGCCAGCGATGGAGCCATGGAAGAAACTACAGTAAAATTTCTGCAAGAATACAGAATGTTGCTGAAAGTTTTCTAAAGGAAAAACAAGGAAACACCATTCTTCGATAGCCGCTGTTGCTGAGAGTTGCACGAAGCTGAGTCTTTACAATTCTCTAATGTTTTTTTAAGCAAAAATAGATTGCTGTTTACTTCAGGAGAACAACAACACAAAAAAAAAAAAAAAAATTACATAAAGATTTGAAAAAGAATGTACGTGTTTTATTTTTTTTTTTAATGTACCAAGTAATCCTTATTTATTAATTCAAATTTTTACTTTAAATTGCTAAAGTATGTTTTCTTTGCATATGTTGATAATGTTTATTGACTTAGAATAAATAGCAAAAGTTTGGGGATTTTAAAAAAAAATACAACTAGCACCTGATAAGTAATTTTTACCTTTTCCTGTGTAAAAAATTCCCAAATTGTGCCCAAGTGGTTGCATTAATGTGTAAGTATCCATTCTACACAGAGGTTTATCTTCAATACTAGAAAATAACTTAATAATAATGGGTGTACAATCATCCTTAGTTTCAGAATTTCTGAACATAAGGCAATCAACTGCAATTGATGCCCTATATAAATTAAACACATTTAATACTTCACACTAAAATACATTTTTACTTAGTTCATTAAAAGTGAGCATGTTTAACCCTTAAATGAAGGTGCACCTTTGTCTAAGATACTCGTGCGAGAAGGAAGGGAATCGAAGGCAGTCACCATACAGGATGGAGGTTTTGCATCGCTAAGCCTAATTTTATAAAAAAAATCAGGGGAAAAAAAAAAGTTTTACTTCTAACATCGTAATTTTTGGTACCATTTTAGATTATTACTTGAGCTCTTACATATGTTAAAATTAGTACTTAATAATTTTTATTTTTATTTTACATGAAAATATACTTAAAAAATTGCTTATCTTGTAAAATAATTTTCAGAAGTGTTATTCAAATTATTTCAAAGTTTTAATTGATAAAATCAATCAACAAAGTTTAAAATTAATAAAACAACACAATAAAGACTATTTACAGTAAGAAGTAACAAAATTTAAAATGAAGACCGAGTGTGGTAAATCTCGAAGCCCGGAGAAGTATCACTTTCTAACTTTTAGATAAAGTATCACTTTCTAACTCTTTAGAAACTCTTTAGAAAACAAATGATCACTCTCATCTGCATTAGTAAATGGTTCATTAACCATACGAGGGTATTTTTCCTCAGATAAATAGTGCCTTCCCGTCATAATACACTGGAGGTGAGGCTTTTCCAAATAAAAAGAGAAAAAACAGAAATATATCTGAAGGCAATACAAAACGTAACAAAACTCCATTTAGTAACCCTAAAAGACCATACATAGTAGAGGAAAAATAGAATAAAAAAAGGAATTGGATATAAATCAGACAACGAATGTTTATATTAGCACCCCACCCCCACCCTCGCAGCAGTTGATGAGTAAAATACCAGAGTCAAGCAAAATATATAGGTCAGGAACCTAAAACTGTGTTTATTTCAAAAGTAATAGACAATGATGCCATCTAGTGGCCCCCAGAAAAACGTTCCAGCTTAAAATGCGTATACACATCACCCGTTCTCTAAATGCAATCTCTAGTGATGCGTCGATGGGATGCTCTGCTGTAAGAGACGTTCATAGGGAATGTGTATATGAGATGCCAGTCCTGAAAGGACTAACATTCAGATTCTATTATAAGTGAACTCTGTATACCTTTCATAAGGCAAAATAATTGATCATGTCATCATATTGAAATTCTTAAATAATATTACTTTCTAACAGGACACATAAAAAAGAATTCCACTTTAATTTTTTTACTTAATGATGATACATAAATTTTTCTCAATTTCAGCTTAAAAAAACTTCCTTCTTCTACACTACTGGCACAGGAACTGTCAAAAAAAGTTTTAGATTGACCCATTCATTAAGATAGGTATTCAATAAATAAAATTAAGAAACAACAGTAACAATACACAGTGCAATATATTCCTCATTCATAAACAAAATTTGCCCAGTGACCTTCAACAATCAGGGACCCAGGCCTCTCGGAACCAGGCCTGTATACAATTTCCAGTTACTTAAAGTTAATAATTAAATTGCCAGAGAGAAAAACAGACTAACATGTTATTTCAAATGAGATGTTAAGTTTTGTTAAAACAGCATACTCTATAGGTTTGATGAAATCTTCTTTACTTCGGAGTTGATTTGGCTGCACAGAGTCCCATTTGAAGTGTAAACCCCAGTTGAAACCACCCCGAACAATAGGAGATGAAACATATTCAAAAGTATCAGCATTAATGATATCAATAATGGGACACACTACTGCAGTGCGATTTTGCTGTATTCGTTCCAGAAGAGGTTCCAGCCAGACTTCATTCACTTCACAATGACTATCCAGAAATACTAAAACCTATAAAGAAATTATATTGTCAAAAATTTTTAATACATTTAACAGTAACAGAAGAAAACATATACCTCAAATAAACAAGAAAACATTTATGGCAGAATTTCAATATTTCACATTAAAAAAAATTAAATAAGAAGCCTTCTGGCTGAAACAACAAATTTAAGAAGAAAAATACTATTATTTTTTTTAAAACTGTGAAAAGTATACATAATTTGATATTCCACAAAGCATATATCACAAGAAGTTCTAAATATGCACACAAATGTGAACATCAAGAAATGGTACAAATCATTTTTTTTTAAAAATGCATGGAAACAAGAGAGAGGTCCAATTTTCAAGGTTTCTCAAGGTCGCTACTGACCTATAACTGCATCACTTGGGGGGTCAAACAATGGAATCGCATAGAAAATTTATTAAAATAATACAGAAGCAAAATTATGAATTAAAATTATAGCCAAATGGAATGGTACCCGTGAAAACTGCTGATCACTAATGCCCATCAAGGCCATTGGTCACCAATAACCTATGGATTGATAGTCATCAGAAATTCAAATGTCACCAGGTTGGGGTGGTGAAGAAAATTTTAATAAATTTTAAAAATAAAAGAGAAGGATAAGTTGCCCTTATAGCTGTTGGCTACTGGTGACCTACTCATTGGTCAACCTACTCATTGGTCACCAATGGCTGATAATTATTGGTGTAAATATAGGGTTGCTGGCATTGGACAATGCAGTAAATTTAGATAAATTGTTAAAATTAAATTAAATAGAAGGATACTATTAAATATAACTGAAAGTAACCAGAATCTCTGTCAAGACCATTCATCAATGATGAAATATATGTTTTCAATCAGGGTGGAGCAGTGCAATGTTATTGCAGTGGCAGCACTTGCTAAAGCAGCAGGTGATAAGTATTTAATAGATAACATAATGCTCCAAAAGTTTCAGTAAGATAACTAAAAATATTTATAGTGGCAAAAACACCAAGACAAAGTCGCAGAATTGGAATTCACCAATTAAAGAATATAAGCAGAGAAAATCATATTCCTGTTATGTCACTCTACATTTTGCTCCATTTAACATAAGCAAATGAATGTAGTTTTTCTTCTCTAAATGTTCAAAATATGTCCTGATACAGATTAATTATGAATTTTTAATTTTTTCAAGAAATTTCAATAAATTACTTTGCAATAAAAAGCAGGAACATCAGATGCACAATATCAATACCTACATCACCAGTAGCATGTTGAGCTCCAAATACACGTGCTCGCATCAATCCAGCTCTTCGCTGAATTCTTAGCAATTTAACTTTCTCACTTCCAATATTGCTGCGAAGAAATATCTTAAGCTTGTCTCTGAACATCTCTAAAAATAAAAATATGAATGTTATTTTATTCTGACACTAAAAAACATGCTAAAATTTAAACTATAAAATAGCAAAATTTTATTTAGAATGCCAAATAATCAAACATTGTTGGCATTTTGGGACATATTTGATACAAATAGTTGTAAGATACTATTTTTAACAATAGGACTAAGTTTGATGCCCTAACATTACAAAGTGCAACTCAGTACAAAATCATTTCCAAATATATACGAGCTTGCTCTCAGACTAAATCAGCAATTAAATGATCTGATATTGCTGAAGAGAGAATTTTTAAAAGTAGGAACTATTTTACTTGAATCCAGTCCTTGAAAAATATAAATTTCACTAATTTGGGATTATTCATGTATTAGCATCAAAATAAATTCTAAAGATTCTAAAAGTTGATATATATATGAATATATTTATAAATAGAGAATGTTTGTTAAATTGATATATATATATAATACTTATATTTATATTAATTACCAGATTTTATACATATTTATACATTATCAGGTATCATTTTATTAAAACCTTTTCATCAAGTTGTGTTGCTCATTAATTAATACCACACTTCATTTTAAGCCCACCAGTGGGTGGAAAGTAAAGTTGCTAAGCACTAGTGGTAGTTCAACCTGGTTTTGATTCCATGTGAATGGGCTGGTCGCACAGATGTTTTTGTGCTCTCTCCATGTATAATAAGGTTAATATAGGGTTGCTGGCATCATATTTGGAAATGATTTTATATTAAATCCCTACCCTTAAGCAGATAGAACTTGCATGCTTTGCCATAATCAAATAATCCACACCCCTTCATTTTTTAAAAAACATTTTTTACTGAAAATTTTATACAATACACATTTAAACTCAAATTAATAAAAAATTTCAGTCATATTTTGGTATTTATTTACTATCCCATTAGTCAAAATGCTCATATGGAACTTTGCGATTTTTTTTTTTTTTTTTTTTTTTTTTGCTATCAGTATTTAATCTAATAGTATTTGCTATCAGTATTTAATCTAATAGTAATATTTAATCTAATAATTTGCCTTTAAAAAATATGAAAAGGAAAAATTTAATTTACAATTTACTTGAAATGGGAAACTGTACAGGAATGCAACTTAATACGATAATTAATTATGGACAGGCACTACTCTGGCCCATAAAAAACTAACCTATAATTGTTCCATAAATCTAAGTCTTTACACAGTTTACGTACATGAGGATTGGTGTAAAACTGCCAATTATGCTAAACTCAGAGCCAATATTTCAAACCAATGGATTAATATACATATACCTTTGCTTCAGTACAATAATTCAAATAAATCATACCATTTTGACACACACACACAAAAAAAAAAATTAAATGTTACTCTAATTTATCAACAATTTTGATTTGATAAATATCATAATATTATAGATGAAAAAATTTTAAATAATATCAATAAATGAAATGCTTAGAAAAATGTATTATAAATAATGAACTTTAAATAATTTACTAAAATTACTAGATTTTATTTGAATGGAGTTTAAAAAAATTTCATCCATCAGGTGATGAATTTTTCTGCTTAATAGTCTAAGAAGAAAAACAGCAGATAAGACAATTATCATAAATAATGTAAAATTTAAGTAATTTAATATTTTTCTTATAAAATACAAACTACATATTTTATAAATATGATTTTACTGATCTGGTAACTTATTAAAAAAACTATTTAGGATATTATATTAAAATGATGCAAGTTGTACAGAAATTTAAAGCTTTAAAGCCTAAATTGGTTTCATTAATAGAGGGGGGAAAAAAGATAACCTGAAAATTATATCTGTGTAAAAAGTGTGAATATTTTTTCAATTAACAGAAAAGAAGAAACAGAAACTTGTATTTATATTGTTATTTACATATTATTCCAGACCATGAAACTGTCAATAAACAGCATGATTTAGCACCAATTATGGATAAAAGTAATCATGTGATTAGCACCAATTAATGAATAGCATAATTATGGATAAGTACTATTTATTAAAAGGTTAATATTTTTTCAACTAACAGAAAAGAAGAAACTAGTAGTTACATTGTTATGTTATATTTTGTACTTATGCATTATCCCAAGGACCATGAAACTGTCACCAAACAGCATGATTTAACACCAGTTATAGGTAAGTGTAATTACAGATGAGTACAACATACTCAGAACATCTGCACTTGCTTCTGATACTCAACTAATTCTTAATAAGCCCCACTTTTTTTTTTTTTTTTTTTGAAGAAAATGATGAAAGAAAAGATATATATTAACTGTTACTGATGTATTTGTGGTGATGGCGATAAGGAGCGCGCCTTGCACCCTCCGATAAGTGTGGCAACCCGAGAGGAGAAGTTTCCTACGAGTAGCGAGCAGAGCGAAACAGGCCGGCTGTCGGGGAGTATGCGCGAAGTTCCAAAATAAAGCTTAATTTTTATTGTGCACTATGTCTTGTTAATATTTATATTAATGCAGTAAGAACATAATCTGTGATATGGAATTCGAGGATTGGTGGTAAAACATATAGGAAATCACCATAATGGTAACCCGGACTGTGTTAAATCAAGCCCGTATGAACAGTTCTCAAGCACTTTCGATTTTGACTACAAGCCATCACTCAAGATCTCCAAACCAGAAGTAATGGATTACATCGGTTTTCATCCTCCGGATCACAGATGAGTAGTAATTATAGATAATTTTATAATTCTGTTTTCTACTTATCATTTAATTTCATTTTCATTAGTTAAATTTTTGCTTTTATTTTGGCTTAAAAACCTTGCACAATGTCTGATGTTCATGCCATCCAAATTCCAGTTTATAACCAATCAGACCCACCTTTATGGTTTATTATGTGTGAAAGTACCTTTACTCTTGCCACCTCCAAACCTATCACAGAATCCATTACTAAATATGATTATGTAGTTGCTCATCTTCCTCCAGATATTGCATCACTAGTGAGGGATTTACTTATGAAACCAGACCCTATTGATCCATATACGAAGCTCAAAACTGAGTTAATAAATCGATCAAGAGAATCTTCTCAGCAAGAAATTCGCCAATTATTATCTGGAGAAGAATTAGGTTCTCGAAAACCTTCCGATTTGCTTAGAAATATGAAACGTCGAGCAGAAGCTTTAAATGTTCCTGATAACTTAATGTTAGAATTATTCCTTCAACGTTTGCCTTCGACTGTTCAGTCTATTCTGGCAGCGGTTTCCAATTTAACTGTAGATAAAGCTGCAGAAATTGCTGACAGAATTTTAGAAGTAAATCCAACCCCAGGGACTTGTGCCGTTTCTCGCACAGTCGATCAGTCTCTTGAGGATAAATTATTTAAACAAATAGAAAAATTAAACAAACGTATTGATCGCATTTCTCTTTCCCGTGGTCGCTCACCAAATCGCAGTGATCGCAATAAGGAAAGAAGCAATTCCAAAAGGAGAGATTATTCTGTTTGCTGGTATCATAGACATTTTGGGAAAAAGTGTAGAGAAGACAAATGTACAAAACCTTGTTCATGGCAGGGAAACGAAACCAGCAAAGAATAGAGGCAACTTATTCTTTGCCTCAAGTTTCACATCACCTGTTCTTTCGTGACCGTAGAACAAACCTTTCATTCTTGGTTGATGCCGGCTCTGACGTGTCCTTACTTCCAGCAATCTAATTCTCAAAAACGGAATTCATTGCAACAAACATTTTTCGCTGATAATTCTTCCACTATTCATGTTTATGGTCAAAAAACACTTTCTTTGGATTTCAAATTAAGACGACAGTTCACACAGACTTTTCTTATAGCAAATGTTAGTACACCTATTCTTGGAGCAGATTTCCTCCATTTCTTTGAATTGGTGCCTGATCTCAGAAACAAATGTCTCAAAGATTTAAAAACGCATTTTAAAACCATCGATTGCGTGAAAAATGCAAGCATTTATTCAGTAAAAACTGTATTTAGTGATACACCATATCACAAAATTTTAAAAGAATTTCCTTCAATTACTAGATTACCAGATCCTAACCAACCTGTTAAACACAACACCGTTCATTATATCATAACTAAAGGTCCACCTGTGGTTGCAAAACCTCGTCGGTTAGCTCCAGATCGCTTAAAAATAGCAAAACAAGAATTTCAAACTATGATGCAATTGGGGCATTTGAGACCTTCGAGCAGCAATTATGCATCCCCACTTCACATGGTTCCAAAAAAGGGAAGTCTGGAATGGAGACCTGTAGGAGATTATTGAGCATTGAACGCTCAAACAATAAAAGACAAATACCCTATTCCATGCTTAGCCGATTTTACTGCTGCATTGCACGGTACTAAAATTTTTAGTCATGTCGACCTGATTAAGGCATACCATCAAATACCAATTAACCCAGCCGACATCCACAAAACCGCCATATACACACCATTCGGTTTATTCAAAAGTACCCGTATGCAATTCGGCTTATGCAATGCATCCACGACTTTTTAACATTTTATAGATGAAGTCACGCAGGATTTAGAAGGTGTTTACGCTTTCGTTGATGACTTGCTCATAGCCTCTAAAGATTCTGAGGAACATTGCAAGCATTTGAAAGCTTTATTTTCCAAACTTCAGGAATATGGACTTTGCATAAATGTTTCAAAATGCACCTTTGGTCAAACGTCTATTGATTTCTTAGGTTTTCACCTTAGTGAAAACGGAATTGAACCTCTTCCTGACAAAGTCAAATGTATTTTAGATTTTCCTCAACCTACCACTCTCACTCAGCTTCGATTTTTAGGCATGTTTAACTTTTACAGATGTTTCATACCTAAAGCGGCACATATTCTTTCTCCTTTAATAAAATTGTTAGAAGGCTATATTAATAAAAAGAAATCTCGTTCTTGTGTTCAGGATTCATCCCCACAATTAAATTGGAACGAGAATGCTGAACAAGCCTTTATCACTGCCAAAAATGCCATTGCTCAGGCTACCCTTTTGAGACAACCTATTCCCGGAGCCCAGCTAAGCATCTGGGTAGATGCCTCAGACGTCGCAATAGGCGGCACACTTATGCAGTTGTCTCAACAAACATGGGAACCTATAGCATTTTTCTCTATGAAACTCAATAAAAGTCAACAGAAATGGTCCGTGTACGATAGGGAATTATTTTCAATTTATTCTGCAATTAAGAAATTCCGACACATGTTAGAGGGCAGAAATTTTATAATTTATATGGATCAAAAACCGTTAATATACGCTTTTAAACAGAACCCTCATAAATGTTCACCTCGACAATTGCGCCATTTAGATTTTATTTCTCAGTACTCTACTGATATTAGGCAAGTGCAAGGTTCAAAAACTGTCGTTGCTGACACTCTTTCAAGAATTGAAATTGATTCCATAACAAAATCTCTATTTTTGGATTTTAAAAAATTTTCGGAAGCTCAACGGCATGATCCGGAGGTACAAGACCTTCTCAAAAACAACACATCATCTTTGAAACTGGAATTTAAACCATGCCAATATTCTGATGGTAATATTCTTTGTGAAATATCAATGGACATTCCTCGTCCATTTGTTCTGAATTCCTTTCGCAGACTCATCTTTAATCATCTGCATAATCTGTCACATCCAGGAATTGCAGCTACTACGAAGCTTATTTGTTCTCGTTATGTATGGCCCGATATGAAATGTCATATCAAAAATTGGGTAAAATCCTGTGAATCTTGCCAAAAATCGAAAATTACTAGGCATACTAAAGTACCACTGGGCACATTCTCTCTTCCTTATGCACGTTTTTCAGAAATCCATATGGATATCGTCGGACCGTTACCTCCATCAGAAGGCAACGTGTACCTTTTGACTCTAATAGATAGATTCTCCAGATGTCCTGAAGCCATTCCCATCCCGAATATGAAAACGGAAACCATTTGCAGAGCCATCTTCAACTGTTGGATATCTCGTTTTGGCTGCCCATTGATCATAACAACAGACCAAGGTTCTCAAATGAGATCCGCAGTTTTTGCAGAATTTACGTGCATTTTGGGTACGAACAGAATCACAACAACAGCCTATCATCCAATGTCTAACGGCATCGTTGAACGATTTCATCGACCTTTAAAATCTTCTCTCAAGGCTCACGATACCAATAACTGGACTGAAACACTACCAGTTGTTATGCTTGGTATTCGGACAGCCATAAAGGAAGATCTACAGTCATCTTGTGCTGAACTGGTGTACGGCACAACTCTCAAGCTGCCTAGTGATATGATAACGTCATCTAAGATATCTCTGTATGACACTTAATTTATCATGAATCTTCGGCATAGAATGCAACAATCAAATCCAATAGCAACATCTGCACATTGCCCAGAAAAGTGTTACATAAGTGCTAACTTAAAGTCTTGTACGCATGTATACTTATGTGTCGATCGAGTAAAGCCACTTATATGCCAACCATATACAGGTCCGCATAAAGTCCTTTCTAGAACGAACAAAACTTTCACAATTGATATTAACGGTCTGAAATCTATTGTGTCTATAGACCGCGTGAAACCAGCCTATTTGCTTTCAGACTCTAATTTGCCTGAACTGAAAACAAATAAAAACTTAAAGACAGTTCAGCAGAATAAATCTGCAAACGAACTCTCTAAGACACAAACTGTCACCAGATCGGGAAGACATGTTCACTTCCCTAAAAAACTTGCTTCTTACATAACAATTTAGCCCATTTTTTTAATTCATACATTAACATATTTTTTGTTATTTCATGTTTATTATATGTGTCATTACCTTATTATATATTGAATTGCATTTTGATCTTTTCTAATTTTATATTATAATTTTGTAATTATGAAAAAAATACCCGGCAGTACGGATCCTCTGAGATAATTTCATAACCTATGTCCTACTTTGATTTTAACTATGTCCTACTTTAACCTACTTTGAAAAGCTCTCAAAGGAACTGGGGGGAAACTCTGTGGTGATGGCGATAAGGAGCGCGCCTTGCACCCTTCAATAAGTGTGGCAACCCGAGAGGAGAAGTTTCCTACGAGTAGCGAACAGAGCGAAACAGGCCGGCTGTCGGGGAGTATGCGCGAAGTTCCAAAATAAAGCTTAATTTTTATTGTGCACTATGCCTTGTTAATATTTATATTAATGCAGTAAGAACATAATCTGTGATATGGAATTCGAGGATTGGTGGTAAAACATATAGGAAATCACCATATATTTTTTCCTTGCATTTTAAAGAAAAAAATAATTAAAATTTGTGACTTGCTTTCTATAGAACAATATGCAGTGGATTATGCTCAAAGTTATGGTATCCCACCATCAAAAAAATTATTTATTAATGGATCCAATATGGTCAGCCAAATATGGTTGACAAAAGAGGAATAGATCAAAACAATGGCCTGAAGGAAGTTTGTTATGCATAACACTCTAAATAAAGCTTCTGATTAAACCAGAGGGCCTAACAAAATAATAATTAAATACCGGGTGATCAAAAAGTCAGTATAAATTTGAAAACTTAATAAATCACGGAATAATGTAGATAGAGAGGTAAAAATTGACATGCATACTTAGAATGGCATGGGGTTTTATTAGAAGCAAAAAAAAAGTTTAAAAAAAGTACTGTTATCGGGTCTTTTTTCTTCGAGGAAATGCATGATTCTGGCTTTGTAACTGCTACCGTGACGGGTGAGAGGTACGCCGATATGTTACAGAATCGCATCGTTCCCAGCCTGGCTGATAAACACCTGCTGGAACGTACGATTTTTATGCAGGATGGCGGTCCAGCCCATATTGCTAGACACGCTCTTGTGCGCGTCGTTTGGTGATGATCGTGTGCTCAGCCGCCACTTTCGTCATGCTTGGTCTCCCAGGTCCCCAGACCTCAGTCCATGCGATTATTGGCTTTGGAGTTACCTGAAGTCGCAAGTGTATCGTGATCGACCGACTTCTCTAGGGATGCTGAAAGACAACATCCGACGCCAATGCCTCACCATAACTCCGGACATGCTTTACAGTGCTGTTCACAACATTATTCCTCGACTACAGCTATTGTTAAGGAATGATGGCGAACATATTGAGCATTTCCTGTAAAGAACATCATCTTTGCTTTGTCTTAATTTGTTATGCTAATTATTGCTTTTCTGATCAGATTATTGCTTTTCTAATTATTGCTTTTCTAATAAAACCCCATGTTATTCTAAGTATGTGTGTCAATTTTTACCTCTCTATCTACATTATTCCGTGATTTATTAAGTTTTCAAATTTATATTGACTTTTTGATCACCCGGTATATCAAAACAATGGCCTTAAAAAAAGCTTGTTATGCATAACACTCTAAATAGAGCTTCTCATTACATCAGAGGGCCTAACAAAATAGCAGGAATTGCTGAAAGCCTATTTACAAAGTGCAAAATCAAAACAGGTCAAATTCTGAAGTTTGGTAAATAAAGAGACATGAGTTCCTCCAGAATTTTGCACAAATCATTGGCACAGCTTTAGCGAGATCTCCATCATCTTTCATGGTTTGATGGTAGCCAATATTCGTGGCCGATGGGATAATATCTAAGTCTGCTATTTTTAATTAGAAAATGTCATCAATTGCAATCAGCAGAATATGTTTAATAAATAAAATAAAACCTTCATAAAAAGAAATAAATAAGTCCAAGGGAGGAGGAATATATTACAAAGGGGGGATGAATATACAAGCACAAAACAAAAGGTTAAAAGAAAGATCCTTCATTAGCTAATATATATATATATATACAAAAACTCAAACATATATAAAATGATATGTTAAAATATGAATTTATAAATTGGTACAGGTACTAAAAAGAATGTCAACCTAAAGCAGAATAATTCAAGATAATTCAATTTTATCTTAAGGAAATAAGAGATCAATAAACACCTTAAAATTTTCTAACAAATTAATTACTATAAAAAGTAAGAGATAAATATTCATACCATCATCACTACAGTCATCAACAAGAATAATTTCATGCAAGAGATGATCTGGAGTTCTATCAATTATTGAATAAATCATACGAAGCATTGTAGACCAAGCCTCATTGTAAAAACAAATAATAATACTAGCTTTTGGAAGATTGAGAGAATAAACCTGCTTTTTGCATCTGAAAGAATAAAAATATCAAACAAAATTAACTCAGTTTAAAATTTTTAGTAACAATTATGTATTTAATATTTGTTACACAATACCTATTAATTATGAGGTTTTGAAGTTTAAAAAATAAAAAATAAAAATATTGAAGTAATATTTAAGATATGCTAAAAATTTGTTGATGATATAAAAAACGTAATTACAATCTCTTTCCCCCAAAGATGTGATTAAGATACTAATATATTACAGCACAGAGATTCAAATTACTAATGAAATATCAAAAAAGGTATAAAGTTACTTATGCTGCCATATTATGGTACTTTCCTGTTAAAGCGCACTTGGTGTATTTTTGTTTTGTTTAGCATATCTCCTCAGGGACAAACACTGCCACTTTGGTTTGCTTGATAACCATCAGTTGTACAAGCATGATTTTCATCTAATCATGGTTATTGTTTCTTTATTACAACCGATTTCGCTGCTTGGGATCTGCAATATATTTTGAATAAAATCATTTTTATGATTTTGTTGACCTAAATACTAGATGCCACACCAAGTCTCTTGAATGTGTCGGGGATCAAAGGTGGATGGGGCTATTGGGAATTTGGGAAAATAAGTGAGGCACAATGGGCTATAGGTTGGTCTTGTCACTAGACATGCTAGCACCCTTATGACAATACCTTTATAAACAATACACAGTGTCATAAAGATGCAGCTTGAGTAAGTTTAACCCTCTAAGCGGCAAGGGTTTTTGGATCTGTTATAAAAACTTGTATTTATGCATCATTTATTCGCTAAATTCATACACAGTCAAAAGTCTTTAATCCGGACGTCCATAATCCCGAATGATCTTTAATCCGGACGTCCATAATCCGGAATGATCTATAATCCGGACCTCAAAACTACAAACTTTCTGCGCATGCGTCAATGCATAATGCGTTAATGCATGTGCACAATACCTTTACGCATGCGCGTTTAATGTATAACGGACGGTATAAGCTAAGCTAAAATTATCTAATTATCTATTTCAGTTAATGTTGCAGATTGCGTTGTTCCTTAATCTTCTAATTGGATCCGGCTTATTATTTTTTGCAGACTGTTAGAGCAATTTTATAAAAGTAAGCTTGAACTTTCGATTATGTCAAAAAGAATTTCAGATTCTGGAGCTACCAAAGGATATACAAAGCGAAAGCATGTTCCGATGTCCATCAAACAAAAAGTGGAATTGCTGCAAAAAATGGATACAGGCATAACCTTTGATTCTCTAATCATTCTGAAATATGTTTATCAATTTCACGCTGCTCTGAGGGGACGGGGACGACACGGTGCGCTATGAACTGGAAGTTGATTTGTCAGCACTATCCTTATCTTCAGGGCAGATGTTTTTATTTTATTCAGCTTATAATTCCTTACTAAATGTATTTCATCTCGATGTATTCCGTCTTTGATATGATTTAAATCAAATTCGTCATTATAAATATCACGAATACACATCAAATAGTTTTCTGGTTGCAATTTTCTAATTTCGACTATGCGTAATGCTTTACGCATGCGCGCGTTGAAAGAAATGTTTAATAAAGTAAACAAATAAATATAAAGCTTTTTTTTTGTAAATTTTGATACCCTTTAGATCATAATTGCTCTTTATTTCATAAATTAAGATTTTGTATTTGTAATTTTATAATTTCTGCATGCCATCCTACCAGATTTAAACTGATGATCTATAATCCGGAATCACCAAAGTCCCGACGAGTCTGGATTAAAGACTTTTGACTGTATTTACTTATTTTAGCCTCTATTTTCATAAACTTACATTCACTAAGCTTATATTTACACTATTAAAGAAAGTAAGAAAGCAAAATATCTTAAGCTAATATATATCAAGTGAGAAAAAAAATCTCATGACCGGATAAAGACGGTCATACCACTCAGATGGTTAATCAGTGACTGTTTGCTAAGACAGAAGCCTTCATGAAGGTGGTAGCAAGAGCTTTGTTCAAGTCATAAACTGAACTTCATAATGGTGCTGATATCTTTATGAAGGAATTTTGTAAAGACTAGTAATTTAGGTACTCTGTTTAAAGGCACCTTAAGCTCTGTTTAAAGATACTAGTGATTTAGGTGCTCTGTTTTTGAATCCAAGTTTAGGCAATTCCCAAAATTATTTTAAGCACAAATAGATCACTATGTATAAGAAAAATGCCAACAAAAAAAAGAGGATATTTTGAAAAGATAAGTGTTTTGTTGTTGTAAAACGATAAGTGTTCATACTTCTTAAATTTCATAGCCTGATTGCCCTTGTATGGATTTCTTAGGGTGCTGCCAATTTGAAAATGACTGCTGTTTTTTGCACATTGCTTGCACACACTTGGCAGAAAATTAACCAGCAACAAGTTTACAAATGCTCTTCCCAAATTCATGACTTATCAGTGAGCGCCCAGATAATAAGCAAGTACTATAAAATTTTTATTCAATAAATAAATGTATCTTATCTGTGATCTAGATTCTAGTCCAAAACTTCAGTTGATTCAGGGAGATAAAAATAGATTACTGTTTAACTATAAGTGATATGCAACAATGTCAGAAGTTCTATTATTATCTTGCTATTTTAGATTTTTAACACAGCAATAAAAAATTTTCACTTGTGGCACCATATGCATTAAGGCTGGTTTGAATTTTATTAAAAAGAAAATAATGATATAATACAAATAAATTCTTCCTTTTTATAGCCCAAAGCAGTATTAGCCCAGAAGAGCTATTATTCTTGAAATGGCATTTGTGATTGAATCACTATAAATGACTGTATAACTTCAAATTGTTGTCAACAAATATTACCACCACATATTATATTTAAAGAAATTAAATAATGAAGAATCTGCATAAATGTATATACAAGGTGTGGCTATTAATTTCCAGGACTGCTCTAATAACACCAGAACAGATGTGAAAAACCTAACCTTTTAATATGTTTCGAAGTAATCGCCATCTGCCGTAACACACTTCTGTGCTCAACTGTATAAGTTGTGGAAACAACCTTTAAAGTCCTCTTTTGGAAGGCTCTTCAATGTCGAAGTCGTGTTCTTCTTGATGTTTTCAACATCCACAAAGCGCGTTCCTTTGATCACAGTTTCGATTTTGGGACTAAACAAAAAGAAGTCTGCAAGGACCAAGTCAGGAGAGTATGATCGAACATTCCCAAAATCAAAACTGTGATCAAAGAAACACGCTTTGTGGATATTGAAGACATCAAGAAAAACGCGACGTCGACATTGAAAAGCCTTCCGAAAGAGGACTTATGACTGTATAAGTCATAAGTCATATATGAGGACTCCGGCTGTATAAGTTGCTTCCACAACTTATACAGCCGAGCACAGCAGTGTATTACGGCAGATGGGTATTACTTGGAAACATATTAAAAGGTTACGTTTTCCACATCATCTGTTTTGGTTTTATTAGAGCAGTCCTGAAAATTAATAGGCACACCTTGTATGTTTCTTGCATTGTGAAAAAATAACGATATCTAGAGCCATCAAATTTTGAATATGGGTACCTGGAAATGAAAATGTTCAATTTCACTTTATATTTTTTAAGCGTTAACGATTGAGAAATTTTTCATCAAAAAATTTTACATTTTCAAAGTGAGCAGTGACAACACACAATACAGAATAAAATATTTTTATCTCCAGTGCAGAAGACTGTTTGGGGTCATATTAACTGCTAGACATATATTTAGAAAAATTAATTCTTTTAACAAATCAAAATATATCCATAGCGTTAGGATAACATAAATCTCAGCGATGAATACAGTGTGTACACGGACATGTAAAAACAGAAGGCAAAACTTATCTTTTTGCAGTCACGCAGAGATGAGATTCTTATCATACATGCATGAGGAGGAGAACTCGAGGCACTGAAGAAATGTGGGGGAGAAAGGTAGCCCCACAACTGTCTATCAGAAATTCTACAGATATGCTGTTTTAAAATATTTTTAGCAATAAAGGGGCATTACCTCAATTATTTTCAAACTGTGCATGTACATGCAAGTGAAAAAAAAAGAAATACCTCTTATAATATAAATAATATAAAATCTGAAAGCTTTCAGATTTTTTCCCCTCATTTTTCAAACATCTGTTTAAAATAATCTGTTTTAAAATTTTAGGATCTTTTAATCTGAGCTCATTCCCTTCAGATCATATACAGTAATTATATCCCAATCTGTTACACAATTTTTTCATCAGTCACACAGATCTAAATTCATTTTTTGACTATTATTGATAAGGAAATTATGAATTCATTAGTACTGGCCATTCTGACATGACAAAAAAAGAACTACTTTTAATTCTAACTGTAATAAAATTAAAAATTCTAATATTTTTCTTGTAAAGAGCAACAGTCATTTCCAAATAATAATCATAATGCAAATTTAGTCAACGCAAATTTAAGTACACGCAAGAAAATACTTTTCGAAAACAGGATTGTGATTGTTTGAACAACATTTTTCACTATCCATAATTCTTTTTCCTGAAAGAATTTGATGATAGATCTTTCAGCATTTAGCGATAGCCTAATTATAAAACTAACTTCAGTTCCTTTGTTAAAATTTCATGCAGGAAATGTCTTCAAGTTAAAATATGAACAATTCACAATGTTTGGCATATAAGATTGCTACCTCTGGAGTGTTTATATTTTGGCTCCGATACCATGAATAACAGATTAAGAAAATTGTAATTAGTGCAATCTTAATAATAAGGCACAGAGTTAATTTTCAGTTCCAGGTATAAGTTTAGCGACTTTGGGTAAGATATCTACTTGGTGATTAATAAAATTTATTAGCTTGCTTAGCCATTGCTAGTAATTTCCAAATGTCACCAAAAATTGTCAAACCCACCTGCATTTCACTGTTGACATCAAAAAAGCACAGTGAATTTCAGGTATTTACATTAAGTCAAAGAATAATAGATCTTTTACTGGATCAGCTTTAACCCTCCGAGTGTTACGGGTTTAGCCTTGAAATTTTAAAGTTCCTCAAAATGTCATGAATAAGTGGTATTTTCTTGATTTTAATTAAAAAATGACTCCCTCATTTTGCACCTTGATTCCTTTTCTTCCAATATACATCCAAAATGAAATAAGATACATTAAAAACTAGCAGAAATTTTCATGTATAATGAATATAGAAAGCATCCTTCTATGCGGAATTTTCCGGCCGAAACGCTGAGAGGGTCAAAAACACAAAATTAACATATTATTAGTGTAGCAATTAAACATTGCAATTGCATTCAATAAATCTTTATATAGGATACACAGCATAAAGATTTAAGGCATACTTACCAAAAAAAAAAAAAAAAAAAAGCATTCTAGAAAGCATTAACATATTAATATGGAAATGTACTACAAATTAATAAATAGTAATGAAAAAATATAAATCAATTCTCACTTAGCTCGCACATTTCATTGTAGAGAAAATTTGTATTTATGCATCATCCCATCGACTGTGAAAGCTGGCGGATATTCGATCAAAGTGCATTAATCTTTCCAAGGGAATCCTGAAAAAACTGATGCTTCTTTATTTAATAAACTATCAATATTTGACCTGTTATGTTTGTGCACTTTTTAAAAAAAAACATTCACAGATTTTACTTCAATTTTTTTAGATTTCGCCCATCACTTTTACCTGAAGCTCTGTTTACAATGACTACAAACTTCCCACAAGTAATTGTTTAAATTTGTTATTGTCCTGTCAGCCATATCGTGTCCACACTTCTTTTTTTTTATGACAGGATACCATAACTTAAAAGATAATATAGATGCAAGTAGAAAGCAGGTCCCAAATCTGAATCTTCTTTTTCCCGAAAATTTCCTCCAAATCCAAGGAAAAAATTCACTCAGAGTTAATTCTATATCCAGAGAGATATCTTCATTCAGTTAATTTTGTACTTTTGTTCATAAAAACAAAATTTAGCTTAATCAGTCAGAGTTACATCAAACAAAATCACAGATGTTATGAATGTGTTCTTACATCATGCTTATCCATAACTGGCACTAAATTGTGCTGCTTAGCAACAGTTTCAGGATTGATGGGATAATACATTTTTATTTTTTTATTAATCTTACACACACAATAAAATTTGATATTGAATTATCATTTATGATAAAAAATATAAGTTGAACTTTAAATCTGAAAAAAAAAAAAAAAAAAAAGGAAGTAATCAATGATAGCATTATAAAGAGTTTACATATATTGCTTGAATGTAATAAATATTTCTAAACTTACAAAGAATGAGCTGTGTAAGGTACCAGTCTTCTGTAGCCCAATCTGTCACTGATGAGGAGGTTAAAGGCATGCTTTTTATAGCCTTCATCTTTAGTTCTTTGATCTTGTGGTGAACTAATCATTCCCAAATGCACTAAATCAGTTGAATTTAATACTTTTTTCTCTTTCTCCATGGCATTTGGAGAGCTTTTCTTTAATAAAGAATTATAATCAAAGTCACTCCCATCAATCATATTATTTTCTCTTTCTGGTAAAAGTCTTTTAGCAACAAAATTCCTTTTTAACATTTGTTCTTTTGATTCTAAAGACAAAGAATCTACTTGAGCTATACGATGCATATTGTCCACTCTTGGCCTTAACTTCCATTTTGCAATTTTATCAGATGAGTTTTCAATAAAAAATTTGTTTTCAGTAATTTTAGAATGTAAATATAAAATTATCAGCCATGTGATTGAAGTCAATATGATACCTAAAAGGAATGATTGATATCGGATGGACACCATTACCTTCTTTCATTGGTTCTAGCATTCATGTGGAAATATTAAATGTTTATACAGAACAGTAATAACTGAAAGCACAGTGCAATTATATCAAAGGAATAATGAATTTCAGATGTTGCTGCCATTCTGGTATACTGCAAATGAAACTGAAAGAAAAAAGAAAAATATATTCTGCATTAAAAAACTCAGTTAACAACAATTTTGACCTGTTAAGAACTACAGTAAACTCCTGGATAACTTCGATAAATTAACCAAGCTTTCAAAATAAAGTTTTGTTTGTTCCATGCAGTGTTGAAAAAATTACTGTCACAAATCATTTATACATAACATAAACAAAAGTATATAAAATATATATAAAAAAAGAAAAGACAAATGTCTAAAATTAGTGCAGTAATAGCAAATGTCTACCAAATGAATTCTGCCAAGAAACAAAATGTTATTACCAACATTTTATTAGAATATAAATCCAATGATATTGCTCATGTCTTCATACAAATATTGTTTTTTAATACCAGTTTTAACTTAGTTCCTTCATTTTTAATGATGTTTATTTTTCTGTTATTTGCAATTGTTCTTTTCATTACACAAACAAATGTTCTTATTCTACAGACTAAACTGCTTTAAAATCAGTGTAGCTAGAGGAGGGACATCTGTCCTGAATAGCAGCAACCAGGGGGCACCTCATTGTTGTTAAAAAAATTATTAATTAAATATTTTCCATTCTTGGCAAACAGCAGCAAGCGTGAAATCTTCAGAGACTGAAAACCCTAGTCTCTGTTTAAAATAAAGGTAAATTATTAATAGCATTTTTCTGTTAATTACAAGTTTATTCCTCCTCCCTTTTTTTTATTGTTGTTGTTGGATTGACCATGATTTTCAGCTAACTCTGCATGTCATCAGTAAACAAGGAGTTAACTGTAGAATACTTACATATTAATGCAACCACCTTAGTAAAAGCGGCCAGATTTTCATTCCAAAACCGCATGCGGTTTTGCAGCTGAGGATGGTTGTTCGGTAAAACCATTGAAACTAGTAATGTGAAAATTTTGTAAATATAACGCTGATTTTTGTTGTTTGACTTCTGAATTAGTACTCAGTATAGTACTTAAAAGCAAATGTATCATTAGTCAATTTTTGTCTGAATTAGCTGATATATTTCTTTTTTAAAAAAGTATTATTTCTACAATACAGAAAAATCCTGCATGTTGTTTCATCTTTAATAGATGGTGAAATTTTTGGCAAAGTTTTAAATTCACCACTGATGACTGTGAATATATTGGAAAATATTGCTGCCCACTGTGAAGAACTTGATGAAGAAGTTGTTAAGAACGAAAATATTTCAAATGAGTGCCATATTTATTTTCCCCACCCTTTTCTGCTAATTTTATCATACAAAGCCTGAGAGGGGAAAATAAGCGGTGTATATTACTTCTAAACAGACAGCTTAAATAATAAATATAGCACATTAAAAAGCACACATAAAGGCACACTAATATTATTATATTATGTATTCCAAAAGACTTTTCAACTTTGCTAATATTTTTTTTTTCAATTTGTACAATACACTTTCCTATTCATGAATACATTTTGCACTGTTACTATAAATCAAAAGTTTCTAAATATTATGCTGAAAAGTTAAAGGGTAAATACAACATTTAGTAGGAATTCTTGACATGAAAATTATAGGAAAGTCAGAAGAAAAGGAAAAAAAGTCAATAATTTTGTACCTAAACAAGAAATTATAGGACTTTCAACCTTAAACAAGAAATTATGGTTGGATCCTAGCACAGCCCACACCCTTGGCACGAATGATTTTGGTTATGGTGCTTATCAACGTGTACATGGACAAAGTCAAAGGAGTATGCAATGCGAAGTTTGTGCAATTCTCTGATGTTTTTTAAGTGAAAATAAGTTGATGCGTACATGTATACCAAGTTTCTGCAATTCTTTGACTTGTCACTTTCATATTCGCGAAATGCGTGAAGCAGTGCGCACTTTCCCAGTCTGTCGCCAAAGGTGTGGGCTCTCCTAGGATTTTACCGAAATTATGTCTTTCCACAAAATTAAACAGACACAAAAGATAAAATTTCTTAAACAACTTAATTTGAAAGAAATGTTGTTACTACTCTTATATACGCCCTCAGATGCATGACGACATCCAATGTGGCGACGTGTGGTGCCAAATGTGTTTCAAATGTATTCTGCGCTGGTTTTGGGCATGAATGAGAGTTCTGTGATGGTTTGGGGCACGATGTTCTTTTTATGGCAATTGGAAATGGCTTATGTTGCAATAAAAAATGTGGTGGCAAAATTTCAGTTGCATATTTTGGACTGTGTGCAAAATAAATTTAGCATTAAAAGGTACAGGAAAAATTTTAGTCATGTATGTATGCTGGACTTTGTATGCTCTGTGTCTCAGAAGATAGGGGAAAAGGATAAAGTGGTGGAAATTGATGAGTTCTGGCTGATGTTTGAAATTCATATTTGTTTTTTTTTAATTGAAAATTTTAAATTTGTGCATTTTATTTTATTGTTGTTCTTATTTTGTAAAATCTCATGTTCATTGTTGTTTTTCTATGAGTTTCTGTCGTTATTGTTATTTTTTGAATTGTTTGTAAATTATTTTGGTTATTTTAGTTTATTTTGTTGACTTGTGTACAATGGTGAGGCAGTGCACGATGCCTTGATTCAGCAATTCACTGATGTTTTTTAAGTTAAAACAGAATGCTGTGTACATGGTATTGTTTTAAATTTATTGTTGTTATGTTAGTTTATCAGTGTGCGCAATTCCTAGATTCCTACACTGCATAGATTGTGCAATTCTCTGATGTTTCTTTAAGTTAAAACAGGTCACTGTGTACATGGATTCTTGTCAAATATTTTTGGTTAGAAATTTTACATTTTTGCTATCTAAATTTTTTGTTTTTATTTCGAATTTTTCGTGTAAATTGTGCGTTAGAAACATGGTTTTCGCACGTGCGAATACCGCGTTTTTGCAGACATTTTAGACTTAAAGTTCAAAATGTAGACAAAAAATTTAGATAGTACTATGGCACTGTGGAGTTTCTCAGCAAAAATGTTTGCCAAGAAATTTGTCACCAACTGAAGGCGTATATAAGAGAAGTTCTAAAATGTTTAACAAACTGAAAACAAATGTAATATTGAACTTTTTCTTATAAATTTTGGTTCCTCTAATGTCATAAATGCTTCATGATTTCACAAACAACCATGTCATATTTTTAATTCTGTAATTTTCACATATCATCTTACTAAAATTATAATGATGATCAAAAATTCAGAAACTTTCAAATCAGAATCATTGCAGTTCCGACAATTCCAGATCTTGGACTTCATATTGTACTACTTATTTATTTTCTTCAGCATATCATTTTAAGATAATAATAAGCTTTTGGCAAAATTTAACAGCTGGCATTAATTTCAACTGAACATGTTCAGAGAAACAATCCCAAAATTTCTCTCTTCTTTAGGGAAAAAAAACTATTCTGCAAAACTCACTTATCCTTCAGCAGCAAAAGCTTATTTGCTCCATAAATTATAAATAAAAATGTTGTCAAGCACACACTAAATCTTGTCATTCACTGGGATTCACTGGGTACTATACATCAGCTACAGACTGGTAAATACTTTCACAGTTGTATTATTCATATGACCACAACAAAGAATCCCATATTAGAATCATACAAATTAAAGTTTGATATTTTTCCATTACCAACAACACATGCACACACATAAAGAAAAAGAAAAAAAAAAAAAAAGAAAAAAGAAAAAAGTGCCTTCTTAAAGTATGAGAAATCACCAAATGTGGTAATCCATAAGAAATAAGTGCAACTGCTTGTGCTCACAAATGCCATTACCAAAAGTTTTCCTTTATAGGAAGGACACTGTATAGGACTGACACGGCATAGAACCAACACCGGAATTCAACTGATGCCACTCATCAGCACTCAGTCATCAGTAGAATTTCAGTAATGATAATAATAATAATAATAATAATGGACATTTGCCAACTTTACAGAGTTTCACAGGTATATGATCAACAGTATCCAGGAGCAACATTGCATAATATAACCAAGAATTATAATTAGAACAGCACATAATCATGAGAGAAATACATTGCCCAGGATCAACATCAGCATGCGATGTTGCATAATTTAACCAAGGATGATAATTAAAACAGCATATAATAATGAGAGAAATAATTTGATTAAATAATTATTTCTTGGAATACCAGCACAGGACTGACACTAGTATAGAGTCGAAGCCAGTTTTTGAGCTGCCTTATTGATCCTGTGTTGGCAGATAGTCTCTTAGTTCTATGCATGCTTGATTTTATGCTGCATTCCTGCCATAACATAAGAGAAATGATCTACAATTTTTATTTGCATACCAGTGCTTTAGTACATATATATGTAATGTTAATTATTTTATCATTTATTGATTTTGATTTTTAATAAAAATACTTGGTTGATCTTTACAATATGGTAACTGGTAGTTTGGCGACATTTTGGAGGCGATAAAGGTTACTACCTGGCACTTTGATAATAATGTGAGCAGTACTCAGTTCCGATTACGCATTATTTTGTGTGAGGGAAATGAGAGATCATGGATATTCATGTGATATTAATGGAAGAATTACGGTTCTTTAATCGGAAAGGGGGGAAATCGGGAAAAAAATCTGGAAATTTTGTATGTGGCTTTATCTGTGTTGTGTGAAACAGTGTTCATGAATTTTTTTGATCCCATGGCCGTAACTAAAGTGAATTCGGAATGGGTATTTATGTATGTATTAATTTAATGTATGTGCTCATTTATTTAAGTAGGTTTTTTTGAATTTAATTATATTTAATTAAATGATAGTTATTTTGTGAATTTATGTTTGTAGGAATTTGGTATAACGTTTTAGTTGAAGAAACGTGCATGGAAATAATTTAAATATCTGACAATAAGTATTTTAATGGTTCCGGTATGAATTCGTTGGTGACGTGTATAATGTAATAGATGATTTAGAGGTAAAAGTTTTGGATATTTTATTATTTTATATGTGGAAATGTTCATTACTTTTTTGCGATCAGGTAATTTCATATTGTTCTTTTTACGGGTTTAAAGATGAGAAAATTGTCATGTATTTCGTAAAAATTTTTCTAATAATAAAAAGCAGTGTAATATATGGAGAGTGTGCGCAATGCCATTTTTGTGCAATTCTGGGATGTTTTTTTAAGTAAAATAGTCGGCGTGTACATGGTTATGTGTATGTGTTATGAAAAACGTAAGAGTGTGGTATTGTGCACTTTTTCCCAATTTTGCAGTGAATTTTGTATGATTAAGCATTTTGTTAGATAAATTTCTAGCATAATGTAATTCGGCTAGTAATTGTTGGAAGAAGTGTTCATAGATAAAAAAAAGAATTCTTTACTTCGTGAAGACAAAATGGTGGCGGAAAAAAAAATAGAGGGTTGCTGAGAGTTGGTCGCCAAATTTTCGCCAAAAAAACGCCAAGTTACCATAATGTAAAGATCAACCAAATACATAACTTATACAGTATCTAATTCATAATTCTTGTAAATATTTGCACTATTGGTTGAATTAATAAATAAAATTTAAAACACCTTGTTTTTGACTGAGATATCGTAAAAAAAAAATAAAAAAAAAAGAAAAGAAAAGAAATCATTTGCTATCAGTTGGCAACAATTTTTTTTCTCTCAATTATTTTAAAAACTGCTCTTTGCTTTTATGCATGTATAATATACATGTATAAACATGTAATACAATATAAGTACATAGGCGTAATATAATGTAAATTTTATGTTTTAACTTGTAACAGATAATGTGGAAAGAAACTTATCAGCTAAACCAACGGGCTCTTTGCAGATGAAAACCCACACATGCATCAAATAAGTTATCAAAAACTATTAAGAAATTTCCTGAACTCAGATAGACTGCTGTTGATACATGCATAAATAATACATATGCATAAAGAAACAATTAAAACAGCAACCATGGTTTTAATAATTTTTTTCATCATTTAAAATTGAGCGGTTTAGTGGCAATAATTTGCATGACTAGTACTAACTGCTGTGAATGTAAATTACTACCAGTAAAAACCTGTCTATTTAAAATAATGCGGAAAATAAACAGCACAGAAATAAAACAAATTTGACAGAACCTGAAAATATGAGTAATAAAAAGGGATTTGTATGGTGGAACAAAACTTGCAATAGTTAAACTGAAAAACGACAATGTGGACTTTAATATTTACATACATTTTTTCAGTAAGTCGGATTTTCAACCACTCATCCCCTCCCCTTCCTTCTTTCAATTGGGCTTACTAAAGTTTGACTGCATTTATCAAAAGAACTCGAATGCTTTTACAATATGACTGATCTCGAAGAAGAAATGTTCCTACTATATTGGGTAATGTCATTATAATAACATATTATAATTATGATTCAATTTTATAATTATAATTCATTTAACGTCATAGATTTAGTTATAATGTATGATTGTAATTCCTAGTAATTAAACTTATGAGAAGAGATGTGAATGTACAGCAGATTCAAAATATTCTTACATAGCAAAATCCCAACTTTATCAAACTGCAATGATTTTTCCGGATTCATATCTTGTTCAATATCACCCGTAAGTTTTCGAAATATATTTTAGCACACAAAGAATACTTCTATTTGCGATTCAAACAGACATTAAATTCACGCAATTTACAACGCATCAATGATATAATGATGGGCTCATTATATTTTATAAATTCATCAGTTGATAAAACATAGCATTATTTTGAATATGCCACGGATTAAACATACCAATAACATTTGAGAAAAAATAACACGGCATTTTAACTCAAATGTAAACATTAAAACGTTGAGTTGCAATTTAAATACTTTCGTAGTTTTGGAATAGCGAGTTAATGTTGAATAATATTTTAGTAATTACAAAAATTAAAAAGTTTAAATAATACTTTTATGCATACGAATATTTACTAATATATTTTAAATGGAACTGGAATCCAAAATTATGCATAACATAACGATATTTTAAATAACCGATATAAGAGCACAGATAAGAAGACCTGAAACATCTCATCTTTTTTTGTTTGCGCATGAAATAATGGGAGGAGATGTAAAATATATTTTGTATGAAGTACTTAATCAAGTAACTTAGGAATTAAAAATTCTCACGTGATTACATTGTTCAAATATGGCTGATGAAGTTCTGTTTGATCTCTTACACTTAGAAATGGTTTGTGCTTTTACTTCATCTGCTGAAGACTGCAAAGATCTTGATGTTTCGAAATTGGAAAATATTGGATACTGCACTGGATACCGATTAGTTGAAAGACTAACTAGAGAGTTTGCAAGATTTAAAGATGAGTTAGATATAATGAAATTTATATGTAAAGACTTTTGGTCCAGTGTATTTAAAAAGGAAATTAATAATCTTCGTACGAACAATCAAGGTGTTTATGTTCTTCATGATAATGCATTCAGGTTTTTGACAAAAGTGACGAACAGTAATCAGTTTTTAAGTGCTACCCCTAAATATATAGTTTTCACTTGTGGACTTGTTCGAGGTGCATTAATGAACTTAGGTATAACATCAGTTGTTACAGCTGATGTTTCAGCCCCTCCTAGCTGTAAGTTCCAAGTTGTAGCTCAGCGCATGTGAAGTAGATGCATCAAGTGATACTGACATTGTTTTGCTTACGCTGAAATTCTGAGAAATGTCATTTATGGCATAGTCAATGAATAAACCCGTACCTTGTGGTGACATAAATGTGAGTGCAAATGCTACAATAATTATTGTCTGTGTTATACTGTACTAATCCTCCAGACGTTTTCCGTTATCTCTTCTAATTTGTATGATAGCTATTTATTTTAAGTACTGTGTTTCATAGATTTTGTAAGGAAGAAAGTGCATACATCGCCATTAGGATTTTACTATGAAGTTGTAAATTTGAATTACATTAAAAGAAATACTTTACTCAAGATTTTCTTCATAAGTGTGGACAACTGTGTAATATCATTTCTAATTTCTTGGTATATATTAGCTGTAATTTTTATAATGTAATGTTTATATTAATTTGTCAACTATGTCCATCTTTAATTGCAAACCTGTAATAACTTGTAACATAATTTTCTGTAATATAATTACAGCATGCAGTGTTTATATTAATTTGAAGATTTTGCCCAGCTTTAATTACAGATCCATAATGATCTATGACATAATTTTCTTAAATGTAATTACAGCATACTAACACACATTTTGTTTGTATGTATTAATTAGAATCTAATATATCCCTAAATATGTTCTGTATTTTTATAATGTAATAATATGAGTAAGTACTCCATGAAGGCATTCCTTTCCATAGGCAGATAGCCCTTGTATGCTTTGCCATGTTCAAGTAACCTAATCGGTAATGTGCTAAGAAGTTAAATATTGTTTACCAAAATAGATTGTAAACTATCTGTTCATGGTACAACTCTAATATACACCCTAATTTCACCAAATGTGGCAATATGTGTTCTGCGCTGGTTTTTGGCACGATTGCGTGTTCTATGGCAACCTTGTTGACGTTGAAAAATCTTTCGCTGGAGCTCGTTGGTTCACCTCTGTGTCTGAGAGCTGGGAGGGAAATATAAATGGTAGTTGTGAATTGAATTCGGCAAAAGGAAATATGATTGTGGCTATCCTGTTGAGGTAGTGGTATTTTGAGTGTGGAAAGGGGTCTGGGAGATTATTTTTAATGGCAGTGCATGATAGAAGTAGGTATTTGTGATTTTATTTATTGTGAACTATGTTAAATTTTCTGGATAGTGTGTCTGCTGTCATTAATACATAGTGGTTACTTGGCGTTATGAAATTTATATTTGCTATCGAAAACGCATTATTCATGGTAATTCATTTTATAGCCTTGTTCTTATTTTGTAGAATGTTATGTTCATTGGGCATAGTATGAATTTCTGTTGTTGTTGTTTTTTTTAAATTGTTTGAAATTTATTAGTTTTTTTGTGTTATGTCTAGACTGTACAATTCGTAGATGTTTTTTCAGTTGAAAGAACGCTGTGTACATGGTATTATTTGAAATTTATTGTTGTTATGTTTTTTATTAAAGTGGGGAGTGTGTAGGTATAGATTCCTTCCTTGCCTAATTGTGCAATCGTAGATTTTTTTAAGTTTAAACAGTGCTGTGTACATGGTATTCTTTGAAATTGTTTGTGTTAATTTATTAAAGCGAGGTGGTGCGTAGTTTGTAGATTCGTTCGTTGCTACATCGTGCAATTCGTAGATGTTTTTTTAAGTTAAAACATGTCGCTGTGTACATGGATTCTTGTAAATATTTTGGTTTAGAAACTTTCGTTTTTGCTATCTAAATTTTTGTTTTTGTTTGGATTTTTAGCTAATTGTGTGTTCAAAACGTAGTTTTTGCATGTGCGAAAACCGCGTTTTTGGAGACATTTTAGGCTAAAACTTCAAAATGTAGACAAAAAATTTAGATAGTAATATGGCAGCGTGAAGTTTTGGCAAGAAATTTGGCGACTTGAGGGCGCATATCAGAGTAGTTCCCTGTTCATTTTACATCATCCATGTAAGGGGGATCTAAAACTATTTTGGAAGAATGAGTTTGACATTCATAACTTCCTTTTTTCTGACACACTAGTTATGTAGTGTTTTTAAAATATTTACAACCAGTGCTGATGCATTTTTTTGGGTGGGGGTAAGCACTTCCGCAAAGGATCCAGTAAATGTAAACCGCCAAAAATGCCGATAAAAGTTCAAAGCTGGTAACCCGGTGAATTGATTTGTCGGAGGTAGCAACCTGGTTCGCTCTTATAGAGAATATTTCTCGTCTGTTCGGGGCTCCATTTTGCCGCTGGCTAGCGGTGCGTCACTACCGGGTGAGGTGGTGAAAATAACATGGCTTTTTAGAATAGTATAGCTGTGCTCTTACGTAATTTTTAAGTCTTTAAACACGCAGAACCACAGGGCTCCTAGGTGTTTATATACAATAGATGATTAGAATAAAAAAAAAAATTATTATTGGTTCTCTGAGATGACAAAGTACTTTTATGTATTCCCAGGGTCATCAAAGTTAGTAAACCACTGCTTTGAGTAATTAATCAAAGTTTGAATGAATCTTGAAAGATAACAAGATGCGAATGTTATTCTATTTTATTTACAATACTATAAGGATTTGAATATTATTGAATACTTGGCATTGTAAATTTATTTGAAAAAGACAGTTGTTCAAAATAAAATTTAAGCTATCACCAAGTATTCAAAAAACAACTTTGAAAATTGCTTGTGTAAAAATTAATGTGTTAAATATATTTAGTAAGAACCATTATCTGTAAAATGTCAGTACACTAATTCTTAAACATAATTTGAGAATTCAACAAGCAAAACTTAAGAAAAAGACCCTTTACTAAAAATATTAGTGTTCTGTGTGAATGACAGAGAATATATGTAAGAATACATGGCCAAATACCTATATAAAGAAAAAGAAAAAAAATAACAAAAAAAAAAAAGTAATACTCTCTAATCGAAACTGTAAAAGTAATCCTGCTATGCCATATTAATTTTTTTAATGATATTGCAAGCATTTCTTCAGGTTTTCCACACCATTGGCTAGCTTTATGGGCAAGTGGGGACATCGTCTCCGGTGCAGCATCCAAGGGGTGCCAATTGAGCTACGAAATTTTAATGAAATGTTTTCCATTCTTGGCACACAAAAGAGGCGCAAATTCTCTATTGTCCGGCACTGGAAACTGTAGCTACGCCCCTGCCTACAACTGATATGAATACTGGTAATTGATTGGTTGAATCTATGGTTAAAGGGCTGGTTGCATGGTTGATTTTTTCGAGTTTTACTCATAAGTAATGCAAATACCCGCCAGTTTCCTTAGAAAGTTGTTTAAACGGCATCTTTCTTCAGGCTAGCCGTATTCTTTGCCATATTCGAATAACCCTAAACTTTCTTTCAGATTCTACATTGACATGATGTATTTGTTGTAAGCAGGACAAGATCATTCCGCCTCTATCCATGTAAGCAGGAGGTATTTAAACATGTCAGAATCATGGAATTCGTACAAAATCGACCATGTTTTAAATCTTTTAAAGTTTCTCAATTTTTTTACATCATGGTTCAGTACAAGATATTCATACTTTTGTTCAAGTTCACAAGCAGTTAGCAAACAATTGCTATATACTGGTATGTGACCCAAGTTTGAATCTTCAGTATTCAGTATCTTGGGCCTTACACTGTCATGTCTCCTAAAGTTATTTACTGCATGGCTTATAACAATCTCACTTGACCATGTTGCCCCTTTGTCAAAACTAATATATCAGTTGCAGTCTCTTAAACTCTCTATAACATAGATTTAAAAATATCTTTTTAGAATAAAAAAGGTTTGTCACGTCTGGCAAATTCATGAACTTTTCACGCAAAGCATTTACGACTGATTTCAGATACAACATTTTGAGAAGTGTTTATCTGCCTTTCATACATATGTCGCATCATTCAGAAGAAAATGATGTCATGTTATTTCCTCAGGGTTTTTCTCACATCTGTATAAGGAAAATAATTTCAATGATATTCTGGAACTGGACTTTCCTAGGGGCCATGAATTTGTCCAAGCATTGGTTATTTCATAAGGAAATGAGAATCTTCTTTTCTATTCTAAATTGCACTAATGTATATCGCATTGAATTAGGCCATTTTCGATAATCTGTGGCATTCATTCTTATAAGTTTTCAAAGTCTTTCAGAGGTAGACTTTCATACACTTCAGAATGAAGATATTGTAATATTTGTTATTTACAATACCTCTTATTGTTATTGATGTGCCATATGTATGATGGTACCCTTGCTTAAAAATGTTTAAAATTCTGAAGTTTACCGCTAGTAGTTGTAAGAAATTTTCCCACTAAAGATTTTATTCCATTATTCTCTCCCTAAACTAAAAATAAAATTGTTTTATTAAGAAGATCATCTTATTTGTCAATACTGCAAAATATTTAGTGATCATTAGTCTGAATCAGAAAAGAGTGCGACCTAACAAGACATTCCTTGTGATCCAACTGACTATTTTGTAGAAAAGATAAAACAACAAATGGAAGATGAACCATTCGATTCAGCTTCCCTATATAAAACGTTGCGTTGCATAACATATATCCTAAATTGTTCCTTCACCCTCGATGCTGGAAGCTATATTTTGACACAATGATTGACTGATGGCGGTACTCTTGTATTTATGCAACCACATTTTTCGAAAATTTTAAGTGACGCGAAACCTATGGAGAAGAAGTTTCTTGCTTTTTAGGCTCGTACTCGGTGATTGCTAATCCTCCTGTGTAATGCTAGCGAATATGGGTGCCTGATGGAACAAGATCGATTTTTTCATAAAACATTACTATATATTTCTTTTCAATCTTCTGGCCTTATTCGATTCAGTAATGTCGAACACGAAATGACAGAAGGAAGAGTGATAATTAGCTCAATAAGAGATTTGTTGAAAATTTGTGAGATTGTCAGAATATATCCGTAGGGGAATATGACTTTGGATGAAACGCAGAACTTTTCGAGACGATTGCCCTTTCGTAAAGCCTAGAAGCTGAGATAGGATATAAGATATTTCCTGTGTTGATTTAGAACCCTCATACTTTGAACGGAATATGCAAGATAAGATTATTCCACCCCTGAATTTGTGTCCTAGAATAGATACCAGCAGGCAACCCAACTCTTGGGTTCAAAAGGATATAATGCTACTTCTTATATGGCTGAAATGAATAATGTTTTCAACCCTTGTCAACATGCGCAATGATGACATATTGATGAAGATGGGAGATTTGAAGAAATTGAAGTAATTACGTTTTATAACATGCAAAAAGGGCAAGTTGATATAGTCGCCGAAATGAGTGGCACTTTTTCTGTGACCAGAATTCAAACTGATGGGCAATTATTTTCGATATTAATTTGCCGCATAAAA